CTTGTCTGAAGGAGGGACTTTGTAGAAAACGAAGTGTTTGAGAGAGGCGGGGCATAGAGGAACTACAATAACGTACAGTATTTGAAAAATAATGTGTTTTTTGAACATTAAAGCATGTCAACATATTCTGTTACACCAAATACACAAAATAATGATCTTTAAAAAAGCATCATATGACCCCTTTAATACTTCAAAAGCGCTTGCTTGAAATCAGTCTATTGTATAAAGTACTATATAAAATCTATTCTGCAAATTATTGCTTCTGATGGGTGTTAAATTACTGAAGGATATTTATCAGTCAGCCATATATGATGTTTATAGTTATTTTTGACCTCCCATTCCCTGGGCAGAATGATCAGCAGCTATAAAGAGATGAGCATATGAGGAAAAAAACATGTTACTCTCATTCCTGAGCATCTGCATTGTGTGTTTGTGTGTGTGCGGTCTTGATCACAGACAGGGGCCTGTGAAGCCAGAGGTTCTGCCTATTCAGTGGTCAGGAAGGAGATCTAATCGAAGACTTCAAAGGAATAACAGCTTGTCTCCGAACAACCCACTTCTGAACCTTGTCAATTCAGGTGATTATTATGAGCCTCAGTGTTCTGGAGGAAGAAAAGGGCACATACGCACACCCAGTGGGCATGCAGCTGACAGCAGATCTGGAAAGAAGTTTAGGTAGGAGGGATTGTGAAGAACGACTATGGGAGAGACTCCAGAGAAAGAAGAGGACAGTCTAGGACCTTTTAAAGAGAACTAAATTATTACATTATTGTAGTAATATGGCTATTCAATAGATTCTTTTTCCATTTTATTATTTCTATATAGTTTGAATTTTGACACAATTTAAAAGTGAATATTCCTGATAGAAAATTTGATAAGGACATAAAAAAATGTAAAAGCAATTCTTTAGAGAGCATGTGATAAAACACACTGCCAAAATAAACTCTCCCAAAACAGTTCATTTGATCCCAACTCCGTTACATTCAGTCCTAGAGCATTATGGCAAGAGAGCAAGAGAGAGAGCTGTATTTGTGTGTTTCTGCAGGTCTGTATGAAGAGGACAATCAATGGATAACTCAGATCAACAGACTGCAAAAGCTGATCGACCGTCTTGAGAAAAAGGCAACAGGCTACACAAATGATTTCTGTCTTTCTCATTATAATGCTTTTTCTCTCTCTGTCATCAATCATCCTTCTAACTTTACAATTCATTTGAGGGTAAAACCTGTCAAGAATATGTCTTAAGTCATATAGTCATATTATAAAATATAAAATTTTATTTAAGCTTTAAGCTTATTTTAAAGCTATTTTAAAACACCTGGTAGTAATTATTCTACTTTCCTTAATGTTTGCTGATTTAAATAAAACAATATTGCATTATACTAATGAGAATCTAATGAAAATCACTATTGAGAATAATGAAATTTAAAAAAAAAACAATTACAGTAATGAGAACGAGATTGTCGCATTACTCTGATATGAATTATATTTCTTGCATTACGGTAATACAAATTTTGAGGTAAAATATCCTTAAAATATACTTATTATTAAAAAAATTATTCTCCTAAAAGCAGGTTTAATTTTTTGAATGCAAAATACAAAATGAACACAAAATGGCTTGTGTTTCTTTCATAGGAACTGCGTTTGGAGCCGGTGGAAGAAGAGGTGTTGGGAAGTTCCACCAAATCAGTAAGTCATTTATGGTCACCCTGTATGTCACTGTATTCTCAGAAAATCATTCACAGAGACCACAGACGCCTGCCGTCTAGGAAACAATGGGGATCGAGAAACTAGTTCCAAGTTATTCTTTTTGATTTCCTTTTTTCTCCGTCTATCACTCTTCCTCTGCCATCTTTTGCACAGTACTTTGAGAGAGCTTTTCTCTGAGGCTCACAAGATGATGTCGACATACAGTACTATAAATAGGTGGTTTGTATGTCTGTGATTCTGTGCTTGTGAACGCCAGGAGAAGAGTGGTACCCGGACCCCTGGGGAGACTGGCTGTAAACACAGTTGTGCATGACTTCCGACAGAGACACAATACAACATTATATTGGACATGCTGAAGCATAAAATTACACACAAATGAGTAGTTCCTTTTTCAAATAAGACTCCCATCCTATTTCACAAGGCTTTTATGAACACCTTGCAAACATCCTTTGCACAAGCAAATGTGTGATCTTTCTGGGATTTGTAGCAGTCAGTTTATAATGAGCGATATTTCAGGTCTGTTTTATTGCATTCGTATGTTTCACATTCTCATACATCCAAATGAGGAAGCATTTATCTCTCTATGGTCTATGAAACTCTATTTCATGGCTGAAGTTAAATAGTCTCTCATCAATTTGTCATTTGTCGGTTATCTAAACAGACAGTGACATTCACAAACTGTATGCATGGAATAACGATTTCAGCATTGCTAATTCATCTGTATTATTTCATTGATTTCATTGATATTTTCATTCATTCAAGTCTTACTTCAGCTGTGTTTTATGTTAATAGGACTGATTTTGTTCAAAACAGATCTCCTTGATGTGAGGATACTTACAAAGGAAACTCTTTCTACTTGACATTACATTCATTTGTAGCAGATAAATATGGGAATATTATAGATTGGGATGCATTACACACAAACAGCATTGAAACAAAATGCATTTTCCTCTGGGTGTATTTGTAGAGAGAGTTAGTTAGTGAAAGATGGGAAATGGCAATAGTACAGGGCCCGTGGAGAGGTCACCATGTCCTGCAGGGTACGAACTCTCACGTCCTGTTCTCTTCAGCTCCCATTCACCTGTCAACAACTTGTTTTATAAAAAGCAGCTATTATGACGCGCGTCTTCATGACTTTACCTGACGCTCGAGACCTGAGGGGTTTCTCTTTATTCTCACACCAGTCTGAGTCACAGCACCATAGGTGGGAATTTTATGTTTTAGTCATGTTTTAATCCGTCCCCATCAAACCCTATTTGACCCTCTTGGATTCATTCTGGAATAGTGTTGATCTGACATCTCTTAACTGTGACTCAAAAAGTTCTGTATAATAAATAAAATAATTATTATGTAAATAAATAACTTTTATTATTATTATTATTACACACACACACACACACACACACACACACACACACACACAAATACCTGTGTGGGGTCTGAAATTAATTCATACTTTTATTCAGCAAGGATGCATTAAATTGATTTAAACTGACTGTAAATACATTTAAGATTCCTATTAGATTAGATTTATATTTCAAATAAATGCAGTTAATTTATATTCATCAAAGAATCCTGGAAAATGACAAATATAATTAGCAGCCCCCAAATATTTTCAACATTGACTATAAGAAATGTTTCTTGAGCATCAAATCAGCATATTCGAATGATTTCTGAAGCATCATGTGACACTGAAAACTGGAGTAATGATGCTGAAAATTCAGTTTTACCATCACAGAAAGAAATGACATTTTTACAATATATTCAAATAGAAAAGTTATTTTAAATTATAATCATATTTTACAATTTTATTGTTTTTGATCACATAAATGCAGCCTTTGTGGGCATAAAAGACATTAAAAATCTGACAGACCTTACTAATATTTTATAATAGTTTTTTATATTACCTCTCAACCCTCTCATGTACTGCAAGAGAAAACCAATCCAGGATCAGTTTCGCACAGTTTTTTTAAATAACGCTTGGTTCAAATACTATATGAATCATGTTTTCTGACTGCTGCCCCTTCTGTGACCTCCCTCCCAGCACATCCTGATCGTTCAGAGGCAGCTCTCAGTGCTGGAGGAGGAAGTGGAGGAGTTTCGTCTGGCTCTCCGGCAGTACATGGACTGCGCCAGCACCCAGACTGGCTGCCTCCAGTGAGTTCACACCGCCACGGCATCTGGGTGAATGTCTGGTGCATTTGCATATAGTTTTGTTTGTGAGGGGTCAGTCAAGGCCAGTTCTCCAAGCGATCAGTATTCAAAATTCAAATCCATGTGTTTGAATTAGATGAATTGGATGTTTCGTTTTACAGTTGGAGGCTGTTGTTTTCTGCATGCGTGGTGTCTAAGAAATACTGTAATTATTACTGTTATAATCCAATTAAACCTAGAAATATTTAAGATAAGACATCCAGTTGCTCACGTGGCAGAGCCTGTGTAACGTCAGCAAGCTTACAGTGGTCCGTGAACGAATTGCGTTGTTCTTTGAGCATGTGTCCGTGTGTTTACAAGCCCTCAGTCCAGGTTTGACTTTTAACTCAGACATCAAAAAAATGTCAGTGATCACATTATGTAGCAGTTGTTTTCTCTGCAGCATTGTCTAATAAAGGTGGACCATTTGTTTGGTTTAATCTGGCTTTTACTAATTGGCTAATTAACAGTGGGAAAGAGTTCGGTTTTGTATTATTAAATAATTGACTTGCTTCACTGACAACCTTTTATGCCAAGAACATTGTCTGAAGGATTTGATGGCTTACCAGTATTCTAATTATTTGTTAAAGGGTTAGTTCACCCAAAATGTTTAATTCTGTCATTAATTACTCACCCTCATGTCGTTTCAAACCCGTAAGACCTTCGTTCATCTTCGGAACACAAATTAAGATATTTTTGATGGAATCTGAGAGCTGTCTGACCCTGCATAGACAGCAACGCAACTGAAATGTTCCCAAGTCCAGAAACGTAACAAGGAGATCTGTAAAATAATCCATGTGACATCAGGGGTTCAACTATAATTATACGAAGCTACGAGAATACTTTTTGTGCGCAAAAGAAAAAAAAATTACTTCCGAAGATGAACGAAGGTCTTACGGGTTTGAAACGACATGAGGGTGAGTAATTAATGACATAATTTTCATTTTTGGGTGAACTAACCCTTTAATGAAAGGAATGGTTCACCCAAAAACGATTTTGCTGACATCATTTACTCACCCTCATGAGATGTTCTGTAGAATGTTCACACTGCTCTTTTACATTAAGTAATAGTGAATGTGGACTAGCGCTCCATAAATAAAAAAAAAATAAAAAAAAGTATCATAACTCTTGTGACAAACAAGTGTGCTTATTTGTATCAAGTGTGCACTTGTAGTGTACTTCAAATCTTACAAGCACCCCCCCCCCCC